GTCCTCGTCCTCCTCCTCCTGGTGTTCTCTCCTCCTCCTCCTCCTCCTCCTCCTCCTCCTCCTCCTCCTCCTCCTGGTGGTCCTCGTTCTCCTCCTCCTGGTGCTCTCCCCCCCCCTCCTCCTCCTCTCCTCTCCTCCTCCTCCTCCTCCTCCTCCTCCTCCTCCTCCTCCTCCTCCTCCTCCTCCTCCTCCTCCTCCTCCTCCTGGTAGTCCTCCCCTCCTCCTCCTCCTCCTCCTCCTCTTCCTGGTCGTCCTCCTCCTCCTGGTCGTCCTCCTCCTCCTGCTCGTCCTCCTCCTCCTCCTGCTCGTCCTTCTTCTCCTGCTCCTCCTGCTCCTCGTCCTGCTCCTGCTCGTCCTCGTCCTCCTGGTCTTGCTCGTCCTCCTCCTCGTCGTGCTCTTGCCCCTGCTGAAAATGTGGCCCAGGAATGGGAGTTCTGGGAAGTCGAAGAGCACGAAGTTGCCTACAGTTGGCTACGGGCATCCAAAATCTGGCCCGGGAATGGAGTTCTGGGAACTCGAAGAGCACGAAGTGGCCTACAGTTGGCTCCGGGCATTCAAAATGTGGCCCGGGAATGGAGTTCTGGGAACTCGAAGAGCACGAAGTGGCCTACAGTTGGCTCCGGGCATTCAAAATGTGGCCCGGGAATGGAGTTCTGGGACTCGAAGAGCACGAAGTGGCCTACAGTTGGCTCCGGGCATTCAAAATGTGGCCCGGGAATGGAGTTCTGGGAAATCGAAGAGCACGAAGTGGCCTACAGTTGGCTCCGGGCATTCAGAATGTGGCCCGGGAATGGAGTTCTGGGAAGTCGAAGAGCACGAAGTGTGTGACTGTTGGCTTAAAATGAGTTCTGCGGCACCCTGTCCGGCACCCGCCCAGACCCCCTCTGTGGAGTGATCTGTGAGCTCTTTTGAGACCACTAGAAACCTATCAGTCTACGCTGTTAGGTAAAAACCGCATCCATTTTAGTAGTGAATCAATGATTTCTGGGCGCGCGGCCTCGGGCCACGACGGGGGCGTGCCCGGGGCCATTCCGTCGCCCCCCCCCGTTCCTTCACTTCCCCTCTCCTTCCCCATGTTTTTCCTCGTCGTCGTCATCGGCGTCGTTGTCTTTGTCGTCGTCGTCGTCATGGTCGTCGTCGTCGTCGTCGTCGTCGTCGTCGTCGTCAGTCCGTTCGCCCTCCTCCTCCTTTTCCTCTCTCCTGAGGAGAGGAGGGGAAGGAAGAGAGACAGCAGTCTTTTGTTTGCAAGAATCGCGCGCGTTGCCAGTAGCCGCTGCTGGACAAGGTCGAAATCCCCCCGCGCCTGGCGGGTGGCGCGCGCAAGCGCTCGCGCTCGGAGACCACGCGGGTTTTGTTTCGACGCTTTTTCGCAAACAGGATGTCTTTTTCTATCTTCGGGAACATTTTGAATATGTGAACTTCAAAATCAAATAGGTCACCGCTGAGAGTCACTTTAAGTTCCCAGGCCAACATGGCGACTGTTCTTTTGTGGACATTACAGAAACCGCCGCGCGCCCGCGGCGGGTGACCCACCCACAGCGCAGGTTTCCCGAAATCCTGTCGGCCACCGCTCGGATTTCACTAGCGTTCCCAAGCCAGTGTGGCGAATCTTCCATGGTGGACATCGCAGAACTCCTCAAGCGCGCGTGGGCAGTTTTGACTCAAGAGCTCGTGTCAACTGCAACTTCAAATCCGTCACCGCTAAGGGTTCACCTTAGTTTCCAGGCCAACATGGCGATTGTCCGATCATGGATCATCCAGAACTCGCCACGCGAGCGCACGCGCGCGGCGGGTGGCCCACCCACCGCGCAGGTCACCCCTGCTGGTCACCGCTGAGCGGTCACCTTAGTGTCCAGGATGATATTGCGATTTTCCTACGGTGGACATTTCGGAACTCGCCAGGCGCTAGCGCGCGCGGCCGGTGACCCGCCCGCCGCGCGGGTCACGTGACATCCTGCCAGCCACTGCGAACCGGCCACTTTGAATTTCAGGCCAGCATGGCGACGTTCCGACCTCGGGCATTACAAAACTCTTCACGCGCGCGTGCGTGGGGGATTTTTGCATGGGTTACGCATGGGATCCCGCGCCAGAACCCATGTACATGTCAATATCACTTCCGTTGCCGCTAAAAGCTAATTTGCGTGTCCAGGACACCGTGGCGACTTTCCGATTGTGGAACATACAGGCCTCGCCGCGAGTTCGCGCGCGCGGCGGCTGACCCACCCGCCGCGCGGGTGAACCGAAATCTTGCCGACCACCGCTACGCGCTCACAATAGTTCCCCTACCAACATGGCGACTTCGATTGTGCACAATGCAGAAATCCGCGCGCGCGGGGGGCCATGTGGTGCCCATCGTAGGATATTTACGCTCAAACTAATGTTAGCTTGGAGATCCAATTTGTCAGTGTTCAACACTTGAGATCAGCCGTAAGCTTCGACAGGCCTCGGCGCTGCTTGTGGCCTGCCAGGGGCTGCCAAGGCTTACCACGGTTTGACAGGGGCTATCAGACGTTGCCAAGGTCTTGCCATGCGCTGCTCATGGGAGAAAGCGCGGACACTTAGCAAACTAACGAGACAATGGGCCGTGAAACACAAAAACCGAGACATCGCAACAGAAGCAACATAACGAACGCCAGGAGCAATTCGTGACCCATGGGGGCTCGGGCCTGCTGGATTGGCGGCAGGTCTGCCGCTGGCGAGCAAGCGTCAACGAGAAGGGGCTCGGCCGATGCGCTCGCCGCTCCCCGTCCAGGAGATGCGCGCAGGAATGCTAGCAGCCAGTTGGCCGTCGACCGCCCGCTTGCTGCCCGACAGGAGGGCAATCGTTTTTTGAGCGAGCCCCCAAATGCATGCAGCCGAAACCCCAGAATGCGATTGCAGTGCTTTTGCGTCCTGCCGCGGGGAACAGGGGCGGGCGCGCCCCGCGCGAATCTGGCCCGAGTGAAGTGGCGCTCTTGTCGGAGCAGGAGTAGAGTCAAGAAAACCTTCCAAACGGCGGACTCCTGCAGCGCGATCGCGAGCAGCAGGACTAATTCCAGCAGCATTTTCGCGAGCAACATGATGGGTCCCAAACAGCGCGTCTGCAAGCAGCACGACGGATGCCAGCAGCGCGGCCGCGAGCAGCATGCGGAGTTCCTGCGGCAGCAGCATCCGGGGCATCACGTCAGACTCCAGCAGCACTTCCGCGAACGCCAGGACGGACGGACTCAAGCAGCGCTATCGCGAGCAGCCAGCGGCCTCATCGCGAGCAACGCGACGGACCCCAGCAATACTGCGAGCAGCATGCCGGGCCCGGCAGCGCGACCGTGCGCAGCGTGGCGGACTCTCGCAGCACCGCCGCGGGCGCCGCGGCAGACTCAATCGGCGCAGCTTTGAGCAGCAAGACGCGTAGCAGCATGACCATCGCGAGCAGCATGACGGGCGCCAGCAGCATGCTCGCCAGCCGCCCGACGGACTCCAGCAGCGCGCACGCGTACAGCATGACTGACCCCAGCGGCACTATCGCGAGCAGCACGATGGACCCCAGCAGCGCGTCCGCGAGAAGCACGGCGGACTCCAGCAGCGCGATCGCGAGCAGCATGGCCGTCTCCAGCGGCACCGCCGCGAGCCGCGTGACAGGCTTCCAGCGGCACGATCACGAGTAACATGACGGACTCCTGCTGCGCCATCGCGAGCAGCGCGACGGATTCAAGCAGCACGACCGCGAGCAGCAGAACGTTTCCAGCAGCTCCATCGCGTCGGCTTCGGCGCGATCGTAGGATCGGGCGACGGGGTCGTCGGCGTGGAGGGCGGGCGCCACGAGGGCGTGAACGACAGGCTGGGCGACGGAACCGAGCAGGAGGTGGAGGGCGCGATGGAGAGCATGGCGGAGCTCGTGGACGGCGGCGACGGCAACGACGACATGGACAGGACAAAGGACAGGGTCGACGCCAGGCCCCCGCTGGAGGTGGAGGCGCAAGTCGACGAGGAGATGAAAGAGATCGTCGACGGGGCGTTCACCGAGGGCCCCGCCAGCCAAGGCGCCCCCGAGGCCGGGGGCTAGGTCAATTTGCGCGAGGAGGAGGAGGAGGCCGCAGGAGGCCGACGAGACGTCGGCGAAGTGCGAGGTGGCGTTCCAGGAGGTCGAGGGCACGGTCGAGGTCTTTGCCGCGGACGCTGGCGACGACGATGGAGACCGGGCGGAGGCCTTCGACAACGACGCGACGAGGGGGGCCAGGGTCTGTTCGAGGTCGACTCGCAGTCGCCAGGGGGCGCCAGCGGCAGAGACGACAACGTCGCGGCGAAGGCGACGGAGGTCGAGGGGCCCGGCGGCGACAAAAACCAGCGGGCCTCCAGCCCAGGGGGCTTCCATCGCGGGTTCGCCGCCGTCAGTGGCGCCCTTGCCCTTGCGCCGAGCGGCGATGTCGGGCCCTTCCCAGGCCCCTTCTCTGGTCCCAGGGCGCGCCCGCCCCGCGCAATGCCGCCATTTTTCGGCGCGCCCATGCTGGCGTAGCGACTTTGGGTAGGAAAACTTGAAGCTGGCCAACTTTGGTTACAGTTTGGTGTAAGTTGATACATAGCTAAGGTCATCTGAAGAACTGACATGCAACTACCCAACTTGATGTTAGCTCATATGGTTGCATTGTCTACCACTTGTAAATGCAGCTGCCCAAGTTACCCAGGGATGTGACTATCGCAACTGCGAGTTGTAAGTTGCAGGCTAAAGAACTTATGGGAGTTACAAATAACTTGTAAACGACTTGCAACTGGGTGAAATAAGTAAGCTTTGGGCTCCTTTGGCAACCCTCGAATTATAAATATCGCACATTATCCTTCCCCTCCCCCCCCCCCCCCTCCCCCCCCGCGCCCCCCCATCCCCCCGACGCCGCGCGGCTGCTGAGGCTTCGGGTCGCAGACCGAAGAAAGAGGCGGATTGCGAGGAGGATGAGCGATTCAATCGCTGCTAGTGAAATTTTTTGATGAGCGATTCAATCGCTGTCCTGGCAGATGTTGTTTTCCGCTCAGCGCAAGGCAAGAATGTCGCCAGAGGCGAGCTCCGACCAAGCGTGGCACGTCTCAACCGATTCGCCGCTCCACCACGCAAGAAGAAATTCGCCGTCCTTCCGCAGGACTGACGCGTTCGGCGTCCGCTTCTCGATCACGACGCACTCGTGCCCAAGAATAAATAGATCGTCTCCCCGTTGGCCCAGAGCTGCGACGCAGAAAAAATTGCTCTGCACGTGCACCACGTCGCCTGCCCAAACAAGCAAGCCCTTGAAAGCAGCGCTGGATGAAAGGACGACGTCGCCGCCGACTGCTTCAGCAAGCAGCGGCGACAACTCCGCATCGCCCCCCCTGAGCCCTGGGCGCTCGTCGAAACTTTCGAGCTCCTGCAGGCGCGCCAACAGCACGCGAGAAATTGCAGCTTTCTCGAAGCCTTTCAGTATATCTTGGTTGTCCAGAATCATTTTCGGCAGAAGGTGCGACCTCTCAACGACGAAGCAATCCAACGCAACGTCGAATTTCTCCACTTGCTCGGGAATGTGCGTCGTCAAATGAAACTTTGGTTTCCAATTGTCGGCCCCGTATGCTTTTTCATGTGCGTCCGCATGGCGATCAACTGCAGCTTCGAGGGCCGAGGCATCGATGTCGCCCGCCTTCGCCCTTTGAATTTTGTCACTCACAGCGAAGCAATGGCAGAGGGACGCAACCTCGTCGCGCAGCTCATCGACATTCGGCAAGATAACAATGCAAGCGAAATGCCGCACCAGCGGGTAAACGCACAACAACTCTGAGGCGCTGCTTCGCCAATGCTCCTTGGATGCGTTCTCCCTGGCCTTGCAGAAAACAACGTGGGCCTCCCGCCGCTTGCGCCGGTGTTGCCGGGGGAAAGACCAGTCTGCCTGGCAGTGCCGCTCCAACTTCGAATAAATGTCTCTCAGAGCAGGAATGGCTTGGCATGCCGACATTAAGCAAACCATTTCCTGGGGCGCAACACCATTGCACAAATATACATGCATCCAATCAAAATGGAGCGACGAAACAGGGCCGACCTGCCCTCGGAGGTCTGCGTCCGCCAACAACCCATCAGGATTTAAATTGATTCCGTGTGCTTTCTCGTGGCGCACCAATGCGGCTTTCGATATTGCCCCTTGTAAGTGCGTCAACTCGTCGTGGGCTCCCCATGCGGCCTCGTCAGAATTACAAATGAATGCGCTGCGGTCCCTGCATGTGATTTCCACCAACCGATTGGGCGCGGCGCCAACAATGCCTGAGCCTTTCTTGAGCACGTTGGCGCACTTCAGACATGGTCGGATCCCTGCAGATCCTTTCACGCCGAGGCCCCTGGACAAAGCGACCTCGTCTCCCAAGTGCACGGCAAATTTCGCGAAGAACATGGTCGGCCCGCTTGGTAGCGGCAAGGCCACGCCATCCACGAGATTGCCGTCCTCAAGAAGCAAGCGACGCAGCAACGACTTGATCGCGCCCGAGAGGCCACCGCGCATTTTCTCCACTTGTGCCGACCTGATCACGCCCAGGGGGAACCAACAGCATTCGTGCCGAAGGGCATGCTTGAATTCTAAATTATCCCGGCAAAGCAACCTAACAGCGATGTGTAGGAGCATATTTGGAAGCATTCCCCTTAAGATTCAGATGAGAATCCAGTTGTAGAATTCTGCTGTTCTCGCAGTCGTAGTCGCATTCGCGATGACAGTCGCAGTGGCAACGGCAGTCACAGTCACAGCCTCAGCCTGCCTCAGCCTCAGCCTGCCTCAGCCTCAGCCTCAGCCTGCTTCAGCCTCAGCTCAGTCTGCCTTCAGCCTCGGCGTCAGCCTCCTGCCTCAGCCTCAGCCTGCAGCCTCAGCCTCAGCCTCAGCCTCAGCCTGCCTCAGCATCAGCCTGCCTCAGCCAGCCTCAGCCTCAGCCTGCCTCAGCCTCAGCCTCAGCCTCAGCCTCAGTCTGCCTTCAGCCTCGGCCTCAGCCTCAGCCTGCCTCAGCCTCAGCCTGCCTCAGCCTCAGCATCAGCCTGCCTCAGCATTCAAAATGTGGCCCGGGAATGGAGTTCTGGGAACTGGAAGAACACGAAGTGGCCTACAGTTGGCTCCGGGCATTCAAAATCATGCCCAGGAATGGAGTTCTGGGAACTCGAAGACCACGAAGTGGCCTACAGTTGGCTCTGGGCATCCAAAATGTGGCCCGAGAATGGAGTTCTGGGAACTCGAAGAGCACGAAGTGGCCTACAGTTGGCCCCGGGCATCCAAAATGTGGCCCGGGAATGGAGTTCTGGGAAGTCGAAGAGCACGAAGTGGCCTACAGTTGGCTCCGGGCATTCAAAATGTGGCCCGGGAATGGAGTTCTGGGGACTCGAAGACCACGAAGTGGCCTACAGTTGGCTCCGGGCATTCAAAATGTGGCCCGGGAATGGATTCTGGGAAGCTCGAAGAGCACGAAGTGGCCTACAGTTGGCTCCGGGCATTCAGAATGTGGCCCGGGAATGGAGTTCTGGGAGGTCGAAGAGCACGAAGTGTGTGACTGTTTGCTTAAAACGACTTCTGCGGCACCCTGTCCGGCACCCGCCCAGACCCCCCTGTGGAGTCATTTGCTGCTCTCTTTTGACCCCACTAGAAACCTATCAGAACAAGCTGTTAGGTAAAAACGAAATGTAAAATGCAACGAGCTTCCTGCGGTTATGCGGGCGCAGCACAGCTCCAGGCGTGACCTCGTCGTGCGCAAGGATCACGTTCCACGGCCTTGCTGGGGTGATAGGCGCGGCCGCGAACATGCGCGTCGGCGCTGGGGGCACCTCGACTGACCGTTGAACCAAGCGGGCAGGCCTCAGCGGGATGCGCCGAGCAGGCGCGCCGCGAACCCCCAGCACCACCCCCTCCCGCTCGGGAGGGGGAAGGGGGGGATGGGTGGAGGAGGGGGGAGGGGCAGGGGGAGAGGAGAAAACTGGCACCAGAAAAAAATCCAGATGCCGCTGTTGATTTTTTTGCGGCCCAAGAAAGACGCGCTGCTCGGTGCGCCCCGCGGCGCCCTTGCAATGTGCCACTCGAAGGATCCGCCGTCGCACAACGGCAATTCCAGAGAACACGACATCTCTCTATCGCACTCCATCTTCGCGGCGGCCTTGGCCTCATGCGCGGAGACTTCCTCTTCGATGGGCGCTTGCCTCAGTCGGCGGAGGACCTCGCACAAACCAGCGCACGTCGCGCCTGGAATGGTCACCAGCCTCCCAAGGCGGCGGCGCTTCTCGAGAACTTGCTTACCCATGATGGCCACGCGGGTGCCGGGGCGCGGGGCTCGGGCGCTCCTGAGCCCAAGCGCTGAATGTAAAGCAGGTAAGGGTTCAAGCCGTCGCGCCGAGCGATGCGATCGCTTCCGAGCGAGGGCGCCGCTTCATAGCGAGTGCATCGCTAACGAAATGAGCGATTGATCACTTGACCCCCGCCCCTCTGCACCTAATTTCTTCTCCGACGCCGCATTTCAGCCCGAGAGATGTCAAGAAACTTAGGCGGCCACTCGCGCAGCATGCTCGCTGCGGCACTTTCCCCCCTCCTCCCGCAGGGGGGCCTCAGTCGTCGAAAGTGCCGAGCGCTGTCTCCGCCTGCGCGCACTTCTTCTCAGCCGCGTCTGCCTTCTCCTTCACCGTCGCAAGCTGAATGGACAGCACGGCGTTCTTGGACAGGGTATCCTGGGCCGCGGCCGCGAGAGCGTCGAGGTCCTTGACGTGCCACGCCAGGGCCTTGCTGTGGTCCTTGTGCAGCTTGCTTGCTTTGGGGCTGTTCAACAACCCTTTTGCCTTGGAAGCGAGCGGGCTCACCTTGGCCAGGATCTTGACGGCGTCGCTCATCATCTTCTTGGTGGCTGAGGTTGGCGAGAGTTGCTCCTTTCCCTCGCCTTTGCCTGTGTTCTTGCCTTGGTGCTGCTGCGAGCTGGCGCTGCGCTCCTTTGCGGCGATAAGGGACTCGCGGACCTCTTCCTCAACGCTTTTGTCGTCCTTGTAATCAATATTCACGCAGTAGAGCGTGCCGAGGACTTCGTCTTCTTTCTTGTCTTTGCACAGCCTCTTAATCCTCTTTGCGGAGTAGCCCTTCTTCTTGTAGACGCTCAGTGGGAGGTATTTCCCCTGCCTGCCTGAGGCGCGGCTCTCGCGGTATACCCTCGTGAACGTTTCCATCGCAATCTTCTCGACCTCTGCCTTCCCGTTCGCCTCCTTGACGTCGTTCCAAAATTTATCTCTCTCCTTGTAAAAGCGACTTGAAGGACTGTGGCGGCCACCCTCCGAAAATCCTGTGGAGCTGAGTGCACCGCGAACTGCGCGTTGAGCACTGCCGAACATTCCTTCTCTTGCCTACAATCCTTGCTGCGAGCGGCTCCACGGGCTTCTTGCACTTGGCGCAAACGGGGTTGCGATCGAAGCGCGGCACCGCGTCGATCGCCTGCTGACCAGGGGCAGCGGCGCTCGGTGGCTGGACCTCGGCGGGTTCTGTCGGGACCTCCGAGCTCCTCGGCGCGGCTGTTTTCTTGCGTTTCTTTTTGGCGGTCTTGGAGCGCTTCCCCTTGTTCTTTCCCTTTTTCTTTTCTTGGCCTTCTCGCCGCCCTCGCCGCTGACGCCGTAGTCGGCGCCCTCGGCGCCGTCGTCTCCGCCAGTTCCGGTGTCGCCTGCGTCGGCGCCGTCGCCGTCGGCGTCGGCTGGCCAGCCTTCGGCGCCTTCGGAGGCCCTCCTCTTCTTGCCCTTATTATTCTTCTCAGCTGCGGGTGCAGCCGCGCCGCCGCGGTCGCCTCCTTCGTCGAGGTGTTCGGGTTTGGGCCCCCACTCCCAGGGCCAGTCGTCCTCCTCGGGCGCAGGGCCTGCCTCTGCCTTGGCTGCCCTGGCCTTTGTTTTCCTGGGAGGGCGCTTGGCCTTGCCTGCGCGGCTGGCGCCGTGAGCGGCCACTTCGGCGGCCTCCTCTGGGGCCACCCCTAGCTCCTCGGCAAGTTTCCCTGGCTCTCCCTCGGGGGTTTCCTCTGGCCCCTCGGGGGGTTCCTCTTTCGCGTCGTCTAGCTGCCCCGCACGGGCCGCCGAAGCCACAACGGAGAACTCGAACAGCGAGCGCTGCTTCCTGACCTCCACGTGCTTGGGCGGGGCGGAGACGCGCGGCGGGGCGGCGGCCGACATCTGCTGCAGCAGGCGCCCCACAGGCGCGCCCATACCTCGGTTGCGCGAGCGCCCCCGAGCGACCCGAGAGCAGGGCGCGCTGTTTTGAGCCCAGAGTGGCTGCAGTAGGGCGCAGTGGCGTCGTGAGCTCGGGGGCGCGTCTGAGCGAGCGAGTCGCTAGTCTGAGCGAGTGAATCGCTTGTCTGAGCGAGTGTATCGCTAGTTACAGCGAGTGCATCGCTCGCCTCAGCAAGCGAAACGCGGTCTCAGCGACTCTCGCTCTCTCGCCCCCCCCCGCCCCCATCCAAACAGAAAAGCGCAAACCGCGGATGGCGACGTCACGTTGGACCACCGTTGGACCACCCGCGTTGGGCCCCCGTTGGACCACCGTTGGACCACGGTGGTCCAACATGTTGGACCCCTGTTGGACCACCGTTGGACCACCGTTGGACCACCGTTGGACCACGTTGGACCACCTTCTGTTGGACCACCCATGTTGGACCACCGTTGGACCACCGTTGGACCACCAATCGCCGTTACGCTATGGTGCTACTGCTGTCCCTCCTCTTCTCTCCCACTCCTCTTTCTCTCTGCTCTGTCCTTCTCGGCTTTTCTCCTCCTTCTCCTCCTCCTGCTCTTCTTCATCATCATCCTCTCTCAACCCTCCTCCTTACTTTCTCCTCCTTCCCCCCCCCCCCCTCTCCTCTTGGCGGGTCGCGCATGGGCGGGCCGAAGAGGAGCCAGCGATTCGATCGCTCAAAT